CACAGACCAAACCCTAAACCCTAAACCCTAAACCCAACCAGAAACTGTAGTCATATCGTATTATAACCTTCATCGAGCAAGGATGCAGAGATCGGCCTCGTTGGTTATTGAACCTGCGGCTGCTAATCAAAGCCGTATAGAGCCCTTGTAGTACTTGGAGGTTCATGGGTAGTTAGAAGTGGGGTTATAAGTCCCCTAAAATATGGGTTATAATTATAGTTACCCTACTTATAACCCTACTTACAACTACCCATGAACCTCCAAGTAGCCCTCATGGTACCCTTAGTAGCATCCCTGAACCTCCAGCCTTTGCCAGGAGCGACATATACAGGTGCCAGGTTCTGCAACCCTCCTGTCTCTAAGGTTAGAGGCGTGGGCTCCTAATATGGACCCTTAGGCCTGTCTAGGGACCCTTAAAGGTACATATAGGGTATATAGTAGGTGTATAACGATCCCAGTGTCAAGTGCCCATACTAGGCCCATGGTTTCAACCGTAGACTGTCCAAATACTAGCAGCTCCTGACATCGGACACGACTATTACAAGGGTTTGAATAAGTAGTAATCGCATTCCTATTCTTCCCTGTTCCTGTAGTAAAGCTTACCCCAACACGCTATCTACCCTGATTCGGGTGCTTCTAAGGTGGATCCTAGTTGACTCCTGTATGAATCGCAGTGGTGGTTCTTGTTGTTCGAGCTTTATTTGTCAGGGCCTTTGTCTTGGGTTTCGTCCCATTCAGTCTTCTTGCTCTGGGTGGAAAGGGTGTAGTTTCTGGAATGAGTTGCCCAAGGCACTGGATGCCAGTGCAGACGGGACAAGGTGGCGGCAATTACTTTTTCGGGACAGACCTGGTTCCACCTCAAGTTTAAACTCCATTGGGGAGTCTGGAGAATGAGGAATAATACTATTCCCTATCTATCTATCTTTCTATCTGTCTGTCTATCTATCTATCTATCTATCTATCTATCGATCTATATTTCTACCTATGTATTTACATATATCTATATATATATATACACAGTTTGGCATATGCATGTATACATGCATGCATGCAATGCAGTGCAATGCAATGCAATGCAATGCAATGCAATGCAATGCAATGCAATGCAACGCAACGCAACGCAACGCAACGCAACGCAACGCCACGCAGCGCAGCGCAGCGCAGCGCAGCGCAGCGCAGCGCAATCCAATGCAATGCAATGCAATACAATGCAATGCAATGCAATGCAATGCAATGCAATACAATGCAATGCAGTGCAATGCAATGCAATGCAGTGCAATGCGATGCAATGCAATGCGATGCGATGTAATGTAATGTAATGTAATGTAATGTAATGTAATGTAATGTAATGTAATGTACTGTAATGTAATGTAATGGAATGTAATGTAATGTAATGTAATGTAATGTAATGTAATGTAATGTAATGTAATGTAATGTAATGTATGCATGTCTGCATGTATGTATGTATGTATGTATGTATGCATGCATGCATGCATGTATGTATGTATGTATGTATGTATGTATGTATGTATGTATGTATGTATACATATATAATTATGTTCATTCTGCATGTATACATGATTTTCCAGAAGATACACCCAAGCATAAAGCCTCTGTACTGCACTTCCATGGACCGGAGGGCACGGTCCAGGATTGCAGTTCTTCGACCCCGTCCCCTCGCACCCTAAACCCTAAACCCTAAACCCTACTGCCTGGTGCACCAGAGCCCCGAGCCCCAAAACCTGAAAAGCCCAGAACTCTAAATCCTAGGCCCTAAAGCGAGACGCCCTAAATCCTGAACCACAGAAAGAGCTAAAGCCCAGAGCCCTAAATCCTAAACCCTATAAAGCCCTAAATCCCAAACCCTAAAGCCCTCGAGGCCCTCAAAATCCTAAACCCGACAGCCCCGAGCCCCAGGACCCTCGTCTGATAATCAAGGCTCCACAGAAAATTCCGTGACTCCCGACTAGGGGGCCAAGCCATCTTTCGGGATAAGGGGCTAGGGAGTTTTTTAACTGTTCCTCTTGTAGGGGCCTTAAAAAAATACCAATACTATTTTTGAGGTTCTTGTTACAATTATAGTACACTGGGCCCCCGAACCCCATAAAATATATGGTTTCGGAAATGGTTTCAATTATGCAAGGGGCTCAGAGGGTTTTATGATGGTCCTCGAAGAGTATATCTGGGTTTGGCGCTTCCACCTTCAGATGCCAGAAAGCCGCATAGCTAGAAGGTCTACGTGGGCTTTGAGTTTAGGATCCAGATCTCTAACCTGAGTAGGAGCGAAGCCACCAGACCTCCTGCCCCTGAACCATCAGGCTCTGCCTCATACACCCCAGAGTTGCGGGTTTACGGTTTAGGCAACCCTTTAAACCTAGGCCTCAGCCGGGTTCTTGTTCAGGGCTTCGGCGCAAAATGTCGCCACCACAGGGTTGATGATACAAATCCTGCAGTACCCATAGTCAGGATATACCAGAATTCCCATAAGTCGAGGGCCCTTAAGGTAATGCAGGATTTCTATCATCAACAGTCCAGTATGATGACCCAGAACTCTGGATTGCTTGATTTTTCAAGCGCAGGTACAAGTCCCGACTTCAATGGGAACCTTGCCATGGGAATGCTACCCTACCTGGAGGTTCATGGGTACTTGTAAGTGGTTCAGGGTTTTAGGGTTTACGGTTTAGGGGTTATAAGTCCACTAATAGGGTTATGATTTTCGTTACCCTACTTATAATCCTACTTATAACTACCCATGAACCCCCAAGTATGCCAACTTTCGAGACGGCTCCAGAGCAAGAAGCCCCCAAACCATAAACCCTAAACCCGTAAACCCTAAACCCCTAAATCCTAAACCCTGAACCCTAAACCCCTAAACCCTGAACCCCGAACCCCAGACCCTAAACCCTGACGCAGGGCGTCCCCTGGGACATTGACCATGTCAGGGTGGGTCGGGTGCCTTTGACAGCATCGAGTTTCGACTCCAGAAGTGCCAGTGTTTGAGGTTTTTCCAAGGGCTTCAGAAGATTTGCTAGGGTTTAGGGTTTAGGGTTTGGGGATGGGGTTTAGGGAGTTTGGTGGCTCAGGGTGTTGCGTTTTTGGGATTTAGGGTTTTGCTTTTTGTTGGTGTATTTCGTTCTTGAGGCATTTGGGTTTGGGCCCGAGGACAAGTCGACGCATGATTTGGAAAGTTAGGCTTCTGGGGTTCAGCGTTAAGCGGTGAGAACGATCGTGACAGCCATACGCATCTTGGATAGCGCAGATTTTCGGTCACAACAGAACCGACACCAAGAACTATAGCGGGTAGACATAGCAATAAACACAGGGAATCGAGCCGAAACAAAATAGAGATGACAGCAGTAGCAACACAACAACAGTAACGATACCAGTGGAACGGCAGACAGCAAGAGCAGCGGTATTCTGCAGAGTAGGAGCAGTCCTTTTACAGGCGTCAGCATTGATGTTCGTGGCATGCGTCTCCTTCCATGATTATTTTTTAATCACGGCGGCTGCAGTCTTGTGGGTCTGGACATGTTGCGGTTTCAGTGTTGCAGCGAAGAGAAGATAACACCCAACCATAAACCCTAAACCCTAAACCCAGAGCCGTAACCCTAAACCCCGAAACCCTAAAGACATAAACCCTGACCCCCATGACTCCATGACCTAAAGCTTCACAGCCTAGATGTGAGGCAGGCCTGATTGTAGTGCTTTTGATGTAAGTGAACAAGTAGGGTTTGGGGTTTTAGGGTTTAGGAATACCACTCCATTGGCTTCCGTGATATAGGTATGGAAAGGGAGCCCTCAACAACCCTAGTCCAAAAATGAAGTTAAGGCAGATTCTAATGTGTGGACTGCAGTGTTTTCCTACAGGTACACGCAGACACACACACACACACACACAAGCACACAGACACAGACACACAGACATAGACACAGACACAGACGGACAGATGCATATGCAAAACGAAGCCACGCACCTTCACTTGTGAAGACAGACGAACTACGGTTGATGATATAAATCCAGAATTACCCATAATAAGGAAAATTCCATAATTCCCATAGTTTAGGGCCCTTAAGGAAATGCAGGATTTATATCATCAACAGTACTACCTGGCAGGCCAGCAGTGACGCAGAGCGGACGGGCTCCTAGAATCACAGCCTTGGGATGCAGGCTTTCAAGTTTCTAGCCTCGGGTCGTGGATAGGGTTTAGGGTTAAGGGTTCAGGGTTTAGGGTTGAGGGTTTAGGGGCTGCCCTAAACCCTAAACCCTAAACCCTAAACCCTTGCACCCAGTGGGAGACGTTTGGCCGTCTTTCTTTTTCGTAAGTACCCAGTACAGTGTAGGAACCTCATCAAGCAACCCTGTCTCCCCTGTTAGAGTTCTTTAAGGGTTTAGGGTTTAGGGTTTAGGGTTGAGGATTTCTTTATATGAATCCTAATCCTAGGTAGTGTTAGGGAGCCCTAAACCCCAAAACCTATTAATAGACGGAGGTTTTGCAGGGCCAAGGTTTCTTTGGGCTGAACCCCTAAACCCTGAGCCCCCAAGCCCCTAACCCCTAAACCCTAAGCCCTAAATCCCTAAACCCAAATCCCCTCACCCCTAAGTCCCTAAACCCCTAAATCAACCCCAAGACCCTAGACCCTAAGCCCCTAAAACCAAAAAAGCCCTAAAAACCCTAACCCCTAAGCCCCAAAACCCTAAACTCAAATCCCTGCTGCGGCAGGGCTCTGGCAACCTGTTCCCAACCCTGTTGGGCCCAAAAGCCTAAGTCGAACAAAAGGGCCCTACTAACTACACATGCTATCCGTAGTATTGTTGATTTAGGGTTTAGGGCTTAGGGTTGATTGTTCATACTAGAATGTACCCCCCCCCCAAAAAAAAAAATGATTGTTTGGTCCGGTGGTTCCGCTTCGACACGTCGTTTGCGATTTGTTTGTGTGTTTGATTCTGGCTTGTTGCTGTTACTGACGCTGCGAGTGCTGCTACATTTGTTTTGTGTGTGTGTGCGTATGTTATCTTACTGTCGTGATTGCCGTTTCTGGAGTAGCTGCGTGTTTTGGCTTTTGTGGCCAGCTGCTTGTGCTCGATCCTGCTATGGCTTCCTCTGATGTTGTTTGCTTGTTGTTGTCACATATTGTCATTGATGCTCTCGTCGCGTGCGCTGATGGTGGCGGTGGTGGTTCTGGTCGTGGTGCAGATGTTGTTGCTGCTGCCGTCGGTGATGATGATTATGATGATGCAGAAGAAGGAGATGATGCTTGATAACAATATCCATGATGATGATGACGAGAAAGCATTAAGGGAATGCGACAGCACCACTGCACATCACGATTTGGGACAACAGTCGTCAGAGTTTCGCGATTCAAGGTCTGCGGGCTGCATTTCGAGCGGTGCTGCGGCAGTCACCCGTTTTGCGGTCGCGCTTCGCCAGAGCCGTGCGCCCAGCAAAGCGTATCGAGTTCAACTGTGGAACTTCAACGACCGAAGATCATGGGTGGTCAGTGAGGTCCGCTGATTGCATGTGATTGTGTTTGCCGCTCCCAGAGACAATGACACCAACCCCAAAGTAAGGGGCACTGAGTCTGCTGGCATTGGATACATAGGTGGCAAAACACCAAAGTACAGTACAAAACTTGTTGCATATTGTGGGGAACACAAGACCGACACGGTACAGTCATTGTTTTGTGTGTGGGCATGCTATCTCACTTCTGGTATGACCATTCTCGCTGTGTCAGTTGCATAGCATGTTTTGACTCGTTCTGCCTTGTTCTAGCTGCAGCTGCTGCTGCTGCTGCTGCTTCTGCTGGTATCAATGCCTACTGCTTGAATCAACCTCATACGCCATATCATATGCATGCGTAGCAGATGGTGGCAGCATGTTAACTACTCTGCAATGCCTTGTACAGTCTCAGTATGTATCGGTGAGTGCCCTTCGAAGCAAGATGTTGTGGATGTGTGAAATTGTTCTGCCCGACGAGGCTCGGTCATTCCATGCCACATTATGACATGATAGAGTGTTGTATGCCATTGTTTTGATTTTTCTCATGCAGTTTGCATGCTGTTGGCGGTGGTGCTGTGAGGTGTCTTATTGCAGTATGTTCCATAGTAGAGTCAGTGAAGAAAACGATAGTTTCACTCAGCACCGAAACGCCTAAACCCTATAAACCTTAAACCCTAGGGTTTAGAGAAGCCCTAAACCTTAAATCCTAGGCTTTAGGTAAATCCTGAACCGTAAATCCTATATAGCTAAACCCTAAACCTTAAACCCTATATAGCTAAACCCTAAACCTTAAATCCTAGGGTTTAGGTAAACCCCAAACCTTAAACCCTAAACCCTAAATCTGAAACCCTAGGGTTCAGGTAGGCCCCAAACCTTAAACCCTAGGGGTTTAGGGTTGTTCTCTGCTCATCTTCAACACTGCTCTGGGAGGTCTCTTCGGCCCGCCGTGTCGTCCCTCGATGTTTAGGGTTTAGGGTTTAGGGCTTAGGGCTTTGGGTTTAGGGTTTAGGGTTTAGGGTTTGGGGTTTAGGGTTTTTGGTTTAGGGCTTAGGGTTTAGGTCTAGGAGGCGATCTCCGCCAGGCAGAGCGGCAGAGGACGCAAGACAAGGCACGGCTCCGGGCGCAGCAAGAGTACCAAGCAATGGTGGAGTCCGAGGTGGCGAGACGTTTGGCAGCTGCCCGCGCGGAGGAGCAAGGCGTCCCCTACGTGGTTTCTTTGCTCAACATAATCGCCGCAGCGATTGAGGAGATGCGAGAGGAGCGCCGCCAGGCGGCGACTGCGACAGCGGCTCTGATGAGGCATCTGGCTGAGTTGGCGCAGACCGTCCACCAGGACACCCAGCGCTTGCACTCGCAGGCTCTCGAGCTCATGGCGGCTATCATGGGCAGAACCATGCCGAACCCGAACACGCCTGCAGGAAGTCGGGCAGCACCAGCACCGGGGACACCGTTGCCTCCTTGGTTGGGCTCAAGGCCGCCACGACGCCAACGATACAAGGTTTGCAACTCTTGCAAAGAGCCGTTATCCCAAACGGAAGAGGCTTAAAATCGCTCTAGAGTTAACCCTTAAAGGGATCCTTCAAAGGCAACCCTAAACCCAAAATCCTAAACCCTAAACCCTAACCGCCCTAACCTTAAGCTCTTAGCCCTCAAGGGAACCCCTATATAACAGGGAAGCCTAACCCCAAAACCCTAAACCCTAAACCCTAACCTACAGCCCTAAGCCCCAAAGGGAACCCCTATACAACAGGGAACCCTTTCGGGTTCCTTTAAGGGCCCCTTTAAAGGGTTTAGGGTTTAGGGTTTAGGGTCCCCTTTAAAGGG